AGGACAATTAATTCCGGACAGAGGAAGTACAACACAAAATCAACAACAATTGCACCGTCGCATTGGCACAGTGTTTGCGCCTATTGTGGTGTGTCAGTGAAAAAACAACATCAAGATGTCAACGAATCCCTGACCTGCCCAAAATCGAAACACACCTGATTGTATTTGCCTGGTCGCACAATACAAGGTATGCGTCCTGTTATGCAGATCCCCAGATCTTCAAGCATAGAAATCTTCCTAGGATTGTTCGTCTGGAGCAGGCAATGAGACAACAAGCGATCACTACACAAGACAACGTGAGTTGTGGATGAAAAATGCAGTAAATTCGATGAAATGGTGCAATAGTAAACAGCATCACGATCAGTTCACACAAAACTCAGGCATAGACGGGCCAATGTTAGGATTCTATGAGCTATTCACACTTCCATAATCCCATCAACAGCACAAAGCCATGCAGTCGAATTCGTTCCTTTTGACTTTAAAAGCACATCGCACTTCACACTTGTTGCTGTGTTGGCACATCAACAATCAGGCGCACACGATGTATAGGCTATGAATGTTCCAACAATCCCTCATGGTGCAATGCTATAAGGCAAAAGCAAGAACTGCTCACCATGAGCCTTATGCTTTTGATGCGCAAATCCCTCAGGATATTGGCAACTGATGAATACTCTCTGCAGTCATCCGGCAAGCCCAGAGCCCGGTTAGCATCTACAGTGTCCAGGCCTTCTTCCTTTGTGAGCATAAACACACGATCTCAGAACAAGCAGGCACCCAATCTGATACTCCTGTGCGCGTCTACTCGAAGCGAAATTCCAGGGGTGCACAGAACAGGCTCTGGTGGAGAGAATGGCCCAGTGTTGGAGCTCTGTCGTGCAGAAATTTTGAAAGAAAGATATGCAACAAGTGGCCCACACATCACACTCACCCTCCTATTGCAATAGGTACCAAAAGGGGGGTATTTGTAAATTCTATGGAAACTTACCTGCAGAGCATATGCTGCGATTTTGTTTGCGAGTCCGATACCACGGCCTTCTTGCTGCAAATAGATAACCACACCAGGTGGGATTTTCTGGATGTACTCCAGAGCGAGCTGCAACTGCTGAGCACAATCGCATTTCATGGATCCCAAAACCTCTGCAGACAATAAAGACACAAACAGTAAGAATGTTGCTGTGATGTAATATTGCAGCCGTTGCACAGCTGGGAACCCAGAATCTCCACAAACAGTGAGGACACAGAATAGAACATCGAGGACCATGTTGCAAAGCATTTTTACACCTGTTGGAGAATCACAAGATCAACAGCGGCAAAGTGCTGTCAAAAATATACTTGGTTTCCAGACAGCAAGTACAAGTTTAAAGTCCAATTATGCCAAGAAGTTGAGTGGGCTGCTGGCAATTTGCTTATTGGAATGAAACATGGCCCAATCAATGATCCTATTGATATCTGTGGGTGATTTGATCATTTCGTGAACATTCGTCCAATGTGGCCCTGTTAGTACAAGTCGGTTGATAGACTCAAAGTGCTGAGTAGCAAGAATGTCACAAAATACAAGATGCATCCTGCCCAAAGTCACTTCGAAAGCTGTGCATTGACTGCCATGCTTCCAGATATTCCTAATAGTTCTGGAAAGCTCTGCAAGCAAGAGACTAAACACAAACTCGATTGTTCAGCGGGCTCCAATTGTACAGCCTCTGTGCAGACAAGGACACAAGGGCATAAAGGGCAATAGGTGGTAGGGCACCTTGGCTGGCTAGTGATTGAATCAAAGCAACCGCCCAAATATAGGTAAGGTTCCCTATCCTGGGATCTGTAGAGCAAATGGTGTAATTCTGGAGCCAAGTTTGCTGCATATCACAATCAGCACAATCAAGCACAGGTCTGCAAAGGCATAGGAATAGAGCGAGCCCAAGCTGAAGATATCACACCTGAGGTAAAGCATGCATCATGCACCCGCACAGGGATCTGCAAAGGAAGGAAAGATGGTGAACCTCAGGATGCTTCCATGAAGCTTCAGAGCACCCATGTTCTCTGCCCACTGGAATAACATGAACAACCCTACCAGTAACGACACGGTCAGGCAGGACCATTGCTGAATTACCAGAGAAGCCTACACAGTTCTCTTCCACTCTGTTACCAACAACTCCTATGCGATGCGCAGACAGCAATAATTTGCAGGATCAGTGGGCTCACGTTCTCCTTGTCTTGGACATCTCCTGATACGATCACTGCGGGCTCCGTGTAAGAATTCCAGCCGTTCACCTGCGGCCTTCCACCACATCAGTGGCCCAATTGCACATACACACCACTTTGCCCCCTCCGCATTCCCCCCAGCCAAGCGCGTTGTCGAGAGACAGTGTTTTTTGTACCCATGAAGGCTGCCAAATCGCCAGCACGGCACCACCGACCAAAAGGCCACTCACGCGCTGCAGCATGCGATCTACAACAACCGACGCACACGCCCATTCCAGCACATCCGCGGCCATTCCCCGCGCGGCAGGAAATCGCCAGACGACCCACCGTGTGGCGGTAGCCGCGAAGCCGATAGCTCCCGGTCCGCGTGGGGAGCAGCGTCTCCGCCACGAACTGCGTCGACACCACGGCATCCGCTATCTCCCCCGAGGCGTGCGAGCCGTTGCCGATGGATGCGGACCCCAGCCGGCCGCGTCCGTGGCCGCCGAACTCGGCAGCCTCCCGGCCGTCGATCAGATGGCCCCGAGGCGTCGAGGCCCCGCAGCGGATGGCATCTCGCCAGGCGGGCTGGCCGGGGGGATTGCTCCAGGGGGGCGCGGCCGGCGGCTGGCAGCCGGCGCGAGAGGAGGCACCGGCGTGGCTCAGCTGCCGGAGCAGCAGCAGCGACGCCATTGCGTGTCCGCGGGCTGGGGTGTGGGGAGTGCGGGCCTGGGTGGGCCCTGGAAAGTGTGCTGGTAACTTTATCCAACGTGGCGGTCTACGGACACACAAACACCCGCGTAAGGCCGCGTCCTTGATTTGGTGACCTGTGTGATCGGTGGCGTTGGTTGGGTGACGCCCCCCGAGGCGCCCGCCGCAGCAGCCCGGTGCTGCTTCTCGGGCGTGGCAGCGCAGAGCATCAGTTACTGCTTCTGTCGCCGCTCGCTGACCGGCCGCGTGTGGCATCTTTATGGCGAGCATCCCTTGGGGTCTGGGAATGTTGAGCGGCAAAATTTGTTTCAAATAAAAAAATCTCATGCAATGGGCGCCCGTTTCCGAAACAAATGAATGTGAGGCTCTTTTCCATGCTGGGGTTGTTGAGGGGGAAGGGCACGTGATATTCCGCAACAGGCGTTCCTCGTTCATGTCCAAATGCACCAATGTGCCTTGCATGCATGGGGGCTTGTCTTGGCAGAGCCATCAGAGCGGTGCAGCAATCGAGGTGGGGGCGAGCGCCCTGCCGCCTGACAACGCTCCCTGTGAATGTGTCGCTTTGGCTTTCGAATATTCTGTGCTGCATTGTCATGGGTGGCATCAGCACGATATGTGGTTCTCGATGCCTTCTCTAGCCAAACCGGGCAAGTGAGTCAGCCAATTGTCGCTCGTCTGACGAGGGAGGCCTTCACGTCAGTCGTTTGTCAGATCGTGGACACCAAGGGGCCCAGTGTTCTCAGTCGGAATCGTCAGCTCAGGCCATCATGCCCTGGCTGTATCCGCCTGGAAAAGGGGGCACATTCGTCACCCTTGTTCATCTATTGCAGGAGAAGGCTGTCTGTTGCACTTACTTTATAACCCAAGTCCGTCATGCCAATTGCCGCGCACACGGCGCCAGGCTCCATGACTGTCGAGCTGCGCTGACATCGCAACTGTCTGCTGCCTCATTGGAGAGGCTCTGAGGCCAGATATTTGGCTGGCCTGACGGCAGTAGATTCCTGTTACATTTCAAGGAACTCGCAAAATTTTTCTCGAGTGAACTCGCCTTTCTGCTTTCCATCGGCATTCTTCTACTGTTTTCCAACAACATTCAGTGGCTGTCTATGTCAATCCTGGCTGGTCCATAGCTTTGTGCCACCAAGACAGTCACACTATGTTAGAAACGCCCATCACAATGGTTTTGAGGGCACCATCATTAAGGTGCACTTAGAATGCGTGATGCATTCAGGTTCAGGTTCAGGTTCAGGTTCAGGTTCAGGTTCAGGTTCAGGTTCTTTCTTAACCTGTATAAGATGCAATATTGGGTTCAATCATCCAATTAGAGCAAGAACACACAGCAAGGCTGCAGCGGTCACATCTTGTCACGCTCTAGGAATGGGTTGAGTAATGATATTAGGATGGGAGGGAGAGGGCAATGGAATTTCGGCGTCAAGAAAATCAAATAGCCAAAACGACCTGGCCATATGCTAGGCACCAGCGGCCCCACGATCAGCACATTTCGACAGCTGGTGACAGGGGAGCCACACAAACGGTGTGCATCAATTGCCAATCCCATCCTCTCAATTTTACGAACCCAGGCAATTGACATTTGCAGGTGGACATTGTCACTTTGTGATGTGTTGCCATTTCCCTGCTAAGGATTCCTTCCAAAGCGTGACATGGTTGCTCTCGTCCGACACAGCAAGTCTGTTGCCTCTTATCCTTCATCAGGACCTTGTCCCACCAAGCCTTGCATCTTTCCTTCCAAACCAACACCTGCAGAAAGAGGAGCCAGATTACAGTTGCTCCTCATGAGCATTGAATCCCCCATTGCCTGCTGCACTTTTGTGAAAAGAATGCCTAGAATCCGAAGTACCTCAGCATCAGGCTGTGCATCAAATGTGTTCATCGACATTCGGTTCCGAGCAAGTTGGTACAATTGACACCACCATTTCACATTTGGTGTATAACAAGCACAGCAATAGGCCCATCGCTTCTTTGACCTCGGATAGTCCATCACTGTTCTCCCCGCCACCAAGCATAAGGCATCAGCAGTGACTGACAACTTAAGGTCACTGACAAAGAGAGGTGTTGCATTGACAACAGCTGCACAGCTGCATTGAATGCTAGAAGACACAGGTCCAGCTATTCAGTGTCCCTGTCCCCCTTCATGCTTTCCTTTGCTTCAGTGCATCCAGACACTGTTTGGAGTTCCGTGCAGCAGCCACCCTCACCAAGTTTGCATCATGGTCCTTATTTCTACCCAGACTTGCTGCAAATTTCTACCTTGCAGTGTCAAGCATGGGGTCAAGGGGGGATGCCTATTCTATGCCCAAAAACTGCTTGTGCGGGGGTCACAGGGTGAAAATGGGCGATGCATGCCAGGATGACAATATGGTGTACCAGTATTCTCAGCAATGTGGACATGGTTAGTCACTGGAGAAAGGCTGCTGGCAATGCCATGCTGTATTTGCCAAGGTGCTGTCTGTTCCCACAGCTGATATGCAGCACATATAGGCATCCCTTCTATGAGTCTGAACAATATGCCACAGCTCTGATGTGCCAGGTGCGGAACTCTCTTCTCACCTTTCCATCCTGTCCCGCACTTGCGATGGTGTTCTTTGGCAAGCCAATATTAGAGGCCCATGCAACATCCAGCACCCTGCCTGAGTGTGCAACAAGCTTGTGCTCCAAGGCCCACACATCACTGACATATGCATAGATCTGCAGCACATGCGAGCTTGCTGCTGTCAGCCCACCTTGCCACCTTCTTGTGCTCCTATAACACAAGTCACTAGATTCTTGCTTGGCAGTCCTGCCAAGACAAAAGATCTGTGGTTCAATTTCACCTTGATGCTGTTGTCACAGCCTGCCACAGCCAGCCACTTCGTCGGCTGTCCCGGCCCTCTCTCTGAGACGAACGAGCCAGCAGGCACTGCTGGAGCCCATGACACCGATTGACGTCCGATGACATCGACACTGGGGATCTGCACAACAGCCAGCATATCAGATCAATGTGTTGATCTACAGATCCACAAACTCACACACAATTTCGCAGCAAAAGAGCACAAGACCAAACCACGTTGGCCAGTCCCTCAGAATGTAATCCCTTCAACAATAGTGTGCATCGCCTCCCTCGCGATTTCGACAAAGAGTGTATTGTGATGTGGGAATGAAAAGCACGTCCATTGTTCAATAACCATCCAATGCATGGGAAGTCTTCCAAAACAGGCTCAGGCCACATTTCCCAAGCAAGGACATGAGAAGCAAACTGTAGTCACCTACAGGCTTGACACACAACATTGGGGTACAACAAATTTCATCACTTTCTTTGTTCAGATGGCATTCACTGCATGCGTTCTCAAACTGTGGTGGATTCAGCACCAGCAGCAGACTGGCATGAGCACATACTGTGCTCCCAGACTATGGCTGAATTTGACTCCCTGCACCACCTTTTGATCCAATTAACTCTCACAATTTATGGCAGAATGCTCAGGCTGTGCACAGAATTACTTTGAGCACACTATGAGCATGGATGGAAATTTCACTTTGCAGGACATTTCAACAACTGGGTGTCCTGGTGCTGCCATGTGACACTGTGGCATGGCCTGCATGGTTGAGAAGAGGCCATGTAACTGGTCCTACAGAATCTGGTTTGTATAATCGAGGACAAAGGAATCAAATATAACTCAAAACACCTGGCATCTGGGAAGCAATTCTACTGCATAATTGAATGCACAAGAACAGCACTGTTGTGCATGCCTGACCAATAGGTTACAGCCCTTGTATGATCACAGCATCAAGCATTGAAGCTGAACCTGACAAGGACAGATTTCAAGTGTAGTTGCAAGCAACAATGATGCTGCTTGGGTGCATTTGGCACCACACATAAAACGCCAGAAGCATTGATTCAGGGTGCTGCAGCAACAGCTTTGCAGACTTGTAGGCCCCGCTCTTGGTTGACAGCCACATTCCACGGTATTTTGAATCAAGGCAAGGGAGCGTCAAGGCAACAACCGTCCCGGAAAGCCACACCAGCTGCAGGATCGTCTGCAATTGTGCTGTCTCTTACGATAGCAGTACATCAGGGCAGCAGCAAGGCTTCTCACCTTCTTTGTGTCCCAGGTGCCATCAGGGTGCCCTTCCATGACAGACAGTGTTCCATCCGAGGAGGCACAGGCAAGGATGAGGCCCAGTTCTTAGGGCGCCCAACAAATGCTGTTCACGGACGCAGCGTGCAGACTGGCTGGTGTTTGGTGCACCCACAAGGCCGCTGACCATGCCAAAGTAGGCTGTAATCCATTGACCATGCGCCCCAAAATGGCAGAAACTGGCAGAGAACAAGTGCTTGTGACTGTAAAGAGGGCCTGACAACATGTGCAACATGACAGTGCTTGGTGAAGTTTCGTGCTGTGCGACAACCCCCGCCCTCTTTGAATGTGCCATGTGGGCCCAACACAGGACATTTATTGCCACCATGAATGGAGGGGCACAGCGCCTGTGAGCGTCATCCCGAATGGCCAGACATGGCGGACGTGCAAATCCTCCCAGTCTTTGATAGCCTCTGCCCAGGCAATCGCAGTGCGCTCCATTGCATCTCTGCGCCCATGACCAGAATTTGCACATTCCATGTTTGCCCGGGAGCACGACCCCTCCAACAGACACAAATCTTGGGCACAAATCCTGCGGTGCTCATCCTCCTCGCGCTTGCCCCCTGAGGGCAAGAATATCAACTGGCCCCGCAAATGCAAATGGAATTCAACTATCGTTCTCCTCATCCTCCCAGTTGGCCGCTGCCGCCCCAGGCCCACCTTTGTCCATCTCCCGCCCTCCACCTCCTGCCACACGATCACCGTGTTGTGAAAGAGCAGGACTCCAGCATGCTGCTGTACTTCGCGTGCGCCCAGGCCACCTGCCACACCGGCCCGCCATGGCCCTGCAGGTCACCCAGGTGCATCTGCTGATCGCCGGACATGTCGAAGATCTTGATCGTCCGCTCAGAGGCGCACGTGGCCAGCCTGCGGCCGGAGTTATCCAGCTGGATGTCGTGCATCATGTCTGTGTGGCCGGTCTCAAAGGACTGGAGGGTGTGCATCATGGCCCCCGCTTGGCCCGCTCAACAGGTTTGGGCGATAATAGCGGGGCACGGAGCCAATGTTTCTGTGGGGGGATCTGAGATGTGCTCAGCCGTAAATGGGGCTGCCTGAGCAGGGGGTGGAGGGGCTGAGGCGCCTGCAGCGCCGTGGGGCGCTGTTTGGGCAGTCGCACTGTTTGAGACACAGCTTGGTCATCGTGCAGTTTTGGACGCTGTGTTGAGGGTGTGCCTGGGGCAACTGGTCCCTTAAGTACAAGTGTCGAATGCGCAAGTTGGACGTTGATGTGTTCGGTTTGTTTGCCCCAGGGATCCTTTCCTTCCTTGCATTGGGTACCAACATATGGGACTGACACGGAGTTTTCATCGCTCACTATACGGGCAGTGTTGCTCGATGATCATTGCAGCCCATTTTCCGTTTCTCTGATGCTCTGGCTGTTACGGCATATACCCAAAAAGGCTGTGAAGGGGCAGTTGCTGATGATGATGCAGTGGCATGCATCAAAACTAGTGCACCCTGCTGACCCCTTGGCCATGGGTTCGACGTCACCTCCACATTTACCTGCAACGATGGCAAGCGCATACCACTGCCTCGTAGTGGCATCCAGGGCGTCGTAACATTGTGAATGTTATGTTGTGATTTCTGTTGCCCACAAATCGAATATGTGGGCATTGGAAGGATGGTGCCATCGTTTGAATTCTGCTGCTAGTGATCAACCTGCCTTACCTAGCGGTCACCACGGTGAAAATTCAACAATAATCGGAAAAGATTGTCACTGAGCATGCTGTGGGTGGGGCAGCACTTTTAGTGAGACCTCAAATTGACTGGGCAATGGGCCCTTGAGCTCTTTCATTCTGTTGGGTGTGACACATCGTGCATTCTTTGAACACACCGCCGCCCTCTATAACCACGAGGTTGGATGATGATCTGCCCAACGATTTTTAGTGTTTGTGGGCGCTGGAAATGGCAACTGGGCTTGAGTGTAGCAATGAGTGCGAATGCACGCTGCTTTTTATGGGCAACACGGGCAAGGAGGAGCACTGATTGACTGACAGGAACTGGGACACAGAGTACCAGCTAGCGAGCAAAGAACACGTAACAGAATGCATGTGGGGTGCAATTGTGTTGCAGGATGAGAACAGGAGGCAAGGAGTGGGACGTGGCAATGCTGTCCACAGGCACCACATCAGCATCAAAGCAGGACAATGCATAACTGCCACAATTGTAGGAATGACAGCAAACCAGGGCAGCTAATCCCCAAATGCAGACAACGAATCCCATGCACAACCCATGCACAACACATCCAGATTAAAAGCCACCAGCAGTCGATTAGTGTTCATCCTACACATACAGTGAATCACAGCGGCTATCAATAGATGCCCTACTCGCCAGAGTAAGTTGCCAACAGGTGTTTGAGCTCTTGTTCCCTCCTTCCCAGGGCTTGGAGGTCCCTCTCCAAGCGTGTCTTTTCAGAAACACGCTTCTGACGCGCTGCATGACAAAAATACCAAAAGACAGGTCACAAAGGCACAACTCCAAGGCTCTCATTGACAGCCAGTTCACAGCTACATCACCTTCCACTACTGCGAATACACAATGGAAGAAGCAACGTTGGATGGATGGTGGCAGTTGAATCGTAGAAATGCGGTAACAATTACAAAGCAAAGGAAGCAAATCCCAAGTTCAATGTGGCTTGCTGATCTCAGCTGCTCCCACATATACATCAGGGGCAGTGAAATAAACCAGTGCTTGCAACTACCCCAATCCAAACTGACTATGAGTGCAGCACTGGAGGCCTGTGTGGATACGTTTAAAACAAGGCTACGCCTACAAGCAACAGGATGGACACAGATTTCACGTCTTCGAACTTGCTGCAGAGTGTTGGAGCAAGACAACACTCAAACAGCACACTTGCACCTCAGCTGCCTCACTATCAGTCTCAATTATCACATGGGTAAATGGTACAGCCTTCTCAATCAGAAGCAACACTCTTGATATGGCAACCTGGGGTGGACAAACCACAGTTTGCTCAGCTGGTTCAATCTTTATGATGTTGCTGTTACGCAGGGCACTGCTGAGCAAAATTGTGGCTACCGAATTGGATATGGCTTGCAATACCCACATAGTTACAAGGTGCTTGTGCATGCTGTTTATCTTGCACAGGGAAGCCCTGTGCCTTGTTCAATCACACGCCAGCCCAGCTGGATGTCTGGTTCTCACCCCTTTTTATGCTCCCACAGCACACAAGGCCCGCCAGGAAGTAGACAGCAGAGCACCCAAGCATCAGGTTCCCTGACACTTGCCCATACAATCTGACTGACTTCTCAAAATCATCCTGCGATCCACCACCCTGCGATCCATTGCCCACCCCCTCCTTTGAGCCATCGTTTGTGTCGCGCTCTGGCACGGTTACAAGCTGCAACGTCAAGATGGCCAGGAACAGCTGTGCCAGGCTCCTCCAGACAAAACCCTCCAGTATGCGCAGCTTGTCCAAAAAGAACTGCCACTCAGTTTCCACCAGCATTATTATCAACGAGAACAGAATGCCATAGAGCCTCAATGTCTGCTCTGTGAAGGCGTTTAGACCCTGCAGATCGTAAGATCGTGTCAACAATTTCCCACCGCAACCTCTTGCATCGTGCTCTGCTGTGAGTCTATCTCTTCCTGACAAGTGAATCCCACAATACTGCCTTGCCAGAAGTTGTGCTGGGCACCCTATAGAATGCACAGGTATGTAGCTATAACAAGCATGGCAATTAGTGTGATGCCTGCAGTCTGGCCAAATAATTGAGGCAGCACTGATCTGAGGCACAGGATGGTCGTGGGATACTGCTGATTGAGATGCTCAAGATTAACAGGAACATACACATGCCTAGCACAGCAACCACGTGAAAACAACAAAAAATGTCCAGCTCCCGGACAGCAGATGGTTTGATAGACGAACATGCATGCTAAACATTTTGTATCTCAGAGATACTTAATGCTACACTAGAGGCCAACAAACTTCAGCGATGGTTGACAATATCTCAGATGCTCTCAGACGAAATGTGCGATCCTAGTCTGCCTACATGCAAGGGCTGTCACATCACAGCAGTAGGTTCTCCTTGTTGGCATGATCTTTTCCTGGTGTAATGTCACAGCAACCCACTATCCTGACACAACCATTAGGTGCAGGAGAGCAGAAACATGCACAGTTATGGGTGGGTGGGTTGGAACAGATACAAGGAGCGGTGGCTTCTCGAAAAGAGTTTGGGACATGGACTGCCATTGGGGCCCTGAGACCTGATTACTCAGTTGTTATTTCACACCCCTATCTTGGGCTTATTTCATTACACGGGTAATAATACAGAACAAGCCGCCTTCACTCAGCTCCATGAATGCATCCTCACTGGAACAAGTCGCAAGTCTGAATGCAAGAAAACGTAAACCCAGGGGTTGTAAGCTGCCATCAATCATTGTCGTATTGTGGCCCAACAAGACAAGGCTGAGGCCCAGTAGTCAATCTGTTTCCCTGTGTTGACTTTGCGGTCATTCCAGACACAATGATGTACAGAGAGCACTCTTCGGACAAGCTTACTATTGGCAAAGATGCCAGCAAGAGTAGCAGTGCGTTGGAACCCAGCTACAGAGCGCATTGAGGCCAGCACCAGGCTCTCATCGCAATGAAACACAAGGCACGTCATCGCACTTGACAGAACCAAATGGCCGCCGCTGTGAGCACTGCATTGGATACAGAACCAAAGTCTGTTCGGCGATTGGGTCAGGTGCACGCATGGGCCTTTCCCAATCGGTGTCAACCTTGCAACCAGAAGCGAGAGAACATGCGCGAAACAAGGCTTGCGGCACACCTCGCCCCAAGCGCGCGGCAATGGGGCGCCTCCCTGCGCAAACAGCCACGCCGCCCCACCTCATTGAATTCCGGCCCCACAATGACTGCCATCCCGTGCGCCACGAGGCACAGCATCGCTGACACGCCAGTCGTCAGGTTAAGCACCCAGCACAGGCCCAGGCAGCAGTCGAACCTCCGCCTCTTGCGAAGCCGCGGGAGCGCCCCGCCGCCGCCGCTCTCCTCGTCCGCCATCGACCCCCTCAGCGCGCGCGAGGCCCTCTGCGCCAAGCTGGCGATGCCAAGGCGCCACCCGCCCCCGAGGACCGGTAGCCCGAATCGCGATCGGCAAGACGCGGGAGCGAAGCCGGAGCCCACAGATGGCGCCTGTCGCCAACGGGGACAAGGCAGGTCTGCCCGCCGGGCGCCTTCGCCGGAAACGGCTCTCGGCGTCCCCGGCTGCCGCTGAAAGGGACGCCCCCACAGCAGCGGCAAGCAGCGGGCGGGGGGAGGTATTAACGACACTACAGCGATTATTGACAGGGTGCACGCGCGTGCACGTAGTTAACGCTTCAGTGAGAGCCCCGACGGCTTCCGGAGCAAAGAACTTGGTCGCTACAGCGTGCTGCGGGCTGCCGACGCGGCAGCGAGCTCTGCCGGCGATTTGTAAGAATCGGATAGAAGCTTTTGGGCGGGGACGCCGTGGTTGCAAATAGGGTTTGTACGGTGGGTCGGGGTGTGAGGTGCGGAGATTGCGCGTGCCCTGGTGGCGAAATGAGATGCGGCGGTTGCCCACCGAGGGCTGGCACAGCGGGCCAAGGCTGGCGGCAGTGGTCGGGGTAACCGGCTGCGACGGGTTCCGGAGGTGAGTGCTGCGTCCAGATCCCTTCCCACTTGGACCACTGCGCTGTGCGGCCTCACGGACTCGGTGTTCTTTTGGGGGCGTGTCTCCCAATTTCGGCGTCTTTCTGGCGCACCATCGGGCCATCAATTATTGGCTCGCAACATCGCAGCGCCAGCTCGTTGATCGCGTCCCATGGTACGGATGAGGCTCGCAACATCGCAGCGCCAGCTCGTTGATCGCGTCCCTTGGTGCGATGAGGCGGACGGTGACCCGGGCCTTGTCCATGTTACAGGCACGCGGTGTCCTGCGCTTCCGGCGAGTGCGCGACTGAGAGCGAGTACAGTAAGTTGATCCAGTCAAGCCATATATGCGGCATTCAGAGTGAGTACAAAAGCCCCTGAAGGAAAGGGGCCACAATACGATGGTGTTGGTAGCGAACTTGGGCGGCTGTGTTGTTGAGTGGCGGTCTTGTCGCTCAGTTCCGTTGTGTTTGAAGCTGTGAGCAGTGAGCGGCACAATCCCATTGCAGGTGGAGCGGTTCAAAACACTGTCAACATGTGACCACCAATACCACCGTTTTCACGTGCGGAACGTGTCAACCGCTGGAGAGGCCTCTCGGGCAGGAGTCGAACCACGCTTTGCCGTGAGAGAATTCATGGACAAGCATTACTGTGCGAGAATGATGAAGCTGGTGGTGTATGGTCGGAGGTTGGTGGAGGAAGTGCAGAAGCTGGTGGTGTAATTATTAAGGGAATTACCAGACCTCAATTGTCGGGTATGCATTTATCTTGCACAACCCACCAAAGTCAGGTGGTGTTGCAACGTGGCTGCAAGTGGATGGGACCAATTGGTTGAGTAGTATGTTGGTAGAAATGGCCATATAACATTCAACGAGGAGTGCCGGGCACTGCCAGCAGAGATGAATGTAAGTTTTGCGGCCGGGGCACCAATTATGTGCACCTGTTGCTGTTGGAAACGTTGCCGAAGGCGTCCAGGAGTACAGCCATGTCTCACTTGGAGACCACAAGCAGGTTAGGAATGCTGCGAGCTTCCGTGCAAGAAGCACACGCATTATAGAAACCGAGGCCAGTGCGCTGGGAACAAGTGAATCATCCCTGTTCTTTTGGTTGTAGTGCTGGAATTTGATGAGTTGTGTGTTGTCCCCTCTTCTCTGAATGCTGAAGCCACTCTCTGTTCTGAGCATGTATACCAGCGGAGCTTTGTGGCATGATGAGGTGATATTTTTGGGAAGGAACATATGCAGCTGTAATGGCAATTGAGGTTATCCCAGTGGCTATTGAAGTTGGAGTTTTGTGCTCATCTTCTGCGCCATCTTTGCATGGAGCCTGGGCTGGCTCACACAGTACTACATGATGTACAGAATCCCAACATGTCCGCAGTGCGTGCAGTGCATTGTTTGGTGATCTTCTGGGGAGATTCAACTGTGATGGGAGACATTCTCCGCATGCCGCTGCCATTTGTGTTGAAGTTTTGTTGTGCAACTACGTGCTCGTCAAATGTTCAAACACCAAAATAGTCCACAGCCAGCCAGGGGCAACCGTCCATTTTTGTAGTTGGCAGTGCACCTCGATGATATGCTCCATTCCTATTCTGATGGCCAAACTTGAGATCGGATTGTCCATCTTTTCGACGGACAGCAGTGACTGACAGAAAGTGAGAGGATGCCATTGAAAGTCGTCCTTGATCGTTATGACCACTCTCAATGCAAAACCGTGTCAATGCGTGCAAAAAGCCAGCAGTCACTGAAACGTGGCTGATGGCTCGGAACAGCTTAAGGCATCCAATCGATTTATGACAAGTGAAGCAAAATTGTAGGATCCTTCACACAACAACATCGATGCCGCGTCATCATCAATCTCGTCACTGCAGTTGGGAAATAGGGAGCGTGTCAATTTGAGGCGCATTGCTGTCAACCAGGGAAAGAAGTGAATCGAGGGACTCCGGGGAGAGCAAACCTGTGGATGCACACCATAAATCAGTACCGCGACCACATGGAGCAATAAGCACCAATGACTCCCTCTGCCAGTGAATCAACTGGGCTAATGCTCCACAAATGGAACTGTTCCAAAATATAAGCAGTTGCTCTGCTTTGTTTGACCAGGAATGAAGCAAAAGGATATGCTGACAATTGTGGCAATGCTCGGGACACTGTAGGTGATCGCTCAACAGCACAGTGTGCAACAAGTTCGGATTGTAGTGCACGACTTCCAAGCAGACTGTGAACAGCCAGGGACAGAAGTATCCATTTCTGCAAACTGTGATTTCAGTTGCATTTGCCACAGATACATGGAAAAAACTGAAGTCACACATCCTTGTGTGAAACTGTGAATTGTTGGGGTTGGGGCGGATGTCGCTTCCGACAAATGTACCAATGACTGAATGACTGCATTCCTAAAGGCAGCGTGACAATGCGGCACAATGGTCAAGTCAGGTGTCTCTTTTGAGCCCAAGGCGTCAGAAATATTTTGTAGCGCCTCCTCACCCGATACAGGCATGTGCAATCAGCTCGAAATCCTGGACTGTAGTCCCTTCATTTTGCACAGTCTGCTAAGATGTATAAGCGTGTTTCGTTCAGCTTCACTCATGCCATCTCAATACAGGAAATGGCGAAGCTGAAATCAGAGTGCAACCGTTGCGTTTTCAATTTCTGGCCCATATGGGAGTTGGCAGTGCTCTCCTTACCTATGCTTCCATTCAATCTCGATCATGTCCACAACTTTGCGATTGGACTGATTCTTGAAGTTCAGAATGGGCACAATATATGGGTTTGTTTGTGACATCAAGCAATAGTTCACGTTGAATATCTCCTTCAGTTCCCTGAAAGGAAGGTCTTCTTCCAGAGATCCATCCCTCTAACGCCTCTCACCCCCAAATGCAGCCTACCACAACGACCACCACAAACGCTGACCAGACTATAGCGATCTCACATGTGTTCTTCCATCGACCGACAACAACAGCTTGGTCTGTTTTCTAAGCATTAGGGGGGAAATCGAAATCATTTCAGGCAAAGGCAGTCCCAACCAGACTGTTGGGCTTGCTATTCTCTCATGTCTGCGTGCACATTTGCTATCAACTCCATTTTCCACAATTCCCATCGTCCAACCAAGAACACAGAATGCAAGCAGTCATCATAATGGACACCATGGGTTGTTCTCAAATGTCGCGTATACAAGGGGTACAAGGCAGAAAACTTGGCAAACACACCTGCAAAGATGTCAACCAGCTGCATGAATGTATGAAACACAAGGCATCGCACAGTCCATGTGGTACTGAAGTCATCTGTGCAGTAAATGATATGTGCGACCTGTGCAACGACTATGTGCAGCACGTGCAACAGACATGGACATACCTGCAGAGAAAAACTGGCACATTCGTCTCTGCCATTTCTGGCCTTAATGTCCTGGGCAGGGTACAAGCCAGGGAAAGCGGACGAAGTTGCCATTGCACTCCACACCAATGCCTGAGGCGCTGACAGGTAGTTCAATACACGGGGTGGCTCGTTGACATCAGCAGCGCACACCGTAACATTCAGCATGCGCCCTACATAAAAATCACTGGAATGACACACATCTATTAGACAACATACCAAACTGTGTCAACAAAGGTAGCCCAAGGTCGAGCAGCAGGTGCCAGGAGATTCATACCCGAATACCCCAACTACAGATACAGTCAGCAGCTGAGCTTGTTAGATAGCAGCAGAATTCAATGCATTTTGTCACCAGCCAGCTGGCAAGTTTTCAACTGCAAGAAACGGCTATGAACATAGTTACCATGTCACAGATGCCAGTCCCAAACAGTCCCTTGGTCACCTGAGTTTTCATAGGTGTCCAGAAACGTCAGATCCCTAAGCAACTCCTTCAGCTTCGCCTGCAAGTAGAGCTCATCATGAAGGGTGCCTTTGGCAGGCAACTGTGGCAGGAACTGCTGAATTGTGGAGTTGTTGAACAAACTCATGTCCAGTTTGTCCAAGTGTTGAAGCAAATGGTAGAGTTCTTCATCGGTGTGCGTTCCCACAGTTGAGACCACTACAAGGGTTGGAAATCCAGCAGTCCTCACAAACACATGTGTTGCAGCACAAACGCACCTCATGTGTGTTAGCGATCTGTAACAACACGTGGTGTGTGACATAGTCTTATGTTTACGAAGCTTTTTTTGTGCTTTTGCTTGCCAGACAGCCAGCACATCCCAATGCTGAGATAATTAAGCAACAATTGGATGCGGTACATAGCCGCATCAACCATGTTGACAACAGGCAATAGGTGTGTAGGCTGCCCAGCACAAAGAACAGAATAACAACAGCAGTTGTTTCGTAAACAACAGCTGGAGCAGAAGGCCAAAAAGTGAACATAATCTACTCTGAGAGCCAGACAACCATACTCACCAATAGATCCAACACTGTTACCACCGACAACCTGGAGCCCAGGAGCTGGACACTGCCAGTACCACATAGCCCTACAGGAGGAACTGGAAGCTACGGGCGAAGCGCTGCTGGCAAAGATCTTGATTCTGTTTTGGCGTGGAGTGTACAGATTGCATTCGCTGCATACAATCCCACCTTTGTGAGAGTTTCTTATGAGGACAAGGCACTTCTACACAGGACATTGCATTGTGCTGTCCCTGCCTTCACCCACCCACACAGAACAGTGCAAATGGAGTCTTAACAGCAGCTTTATGACATCGATAACTGGAAGTAACGTTAATTTACGGAACACAGCCAATGGCACAATGACTAGAGACCTCTCTGTCAGCAGTGGTATGATAACTCCTGTTTCATCCTGCAGCTTGGAAATACGATTTTGCCAGGTATTCTTGAGTGAGCAGCAGATCTCAACAGATAGGACCACCTTGAGGACTTACGGATGGTGCAGCTGTTGACAAAAAAGCTGACCACGGGTGTAGTAGGTCAACAGATGAGATGTGAAGGGTTTGGAATTAGGATCTTGCAGTTGGTGAAGAATGTGAGACTGAATGTGAATTGGGCTCTGTTGATTTGGTTTAGTGCAACTGCTTTGTGAAAAGGTAGAAGGCAGGTGGTGCTGAATATGTACAGCTGTTTGTAACTCAAGAATCTGTGTCAGCGGTGTGTCGGCTAGACATGTTATGGGCAGATGTGCATGTGGCGATCAATGGTGTGGCAACACAACCTGTATGCTCTCTTCGCTGGATCGCCGATCAAAGGCCAGTCGTGTTTGTGCTCGTTTTATCCTCCATCCTGTACGTCCAACTTGTGAATGAAAGCAACGGTTCGACAGCCTTTTCTATACTCACTAAACACCGCAATCCTTTGCCGAACGCCAGGGACACATCTTGGCTCCTAGAGTCGCCGAAGACGGCAGCGCGGGTGTCCCATCCACTATCAAACGCCACCCTCTTTTTGAGCCGGGGAACACAACCGACGCGCTGGGCTGACGCAGTTGACCGTGGTCGACGGCTCGCTCGTGTCTCGTGTCACCGGAAACCCGTGAGTCGAAGTCCGGGAGTGGGGGCCGCGATGCAGGGGAGCAGTAATTTGATGAATGGGAAGATTAATGTTTTCATGGAGAGGGCTTCATTCTGCCCGAAGGCCTCACGGCAGCAATTCCTCGTGAGGTAAGCGTGAGGCAACAATGACAACAACGACGAAAGGTCTGACGACATCAGCAGTCAGAAGGGCGTGGTGATCGCGATCTTGCTTTTTGGACCGTGTGCGTGTTGGCAGCTTTGCCACGTGGCACTTTTTAAGATCGTATTTTGTCGTATCTATGTCACTGTTGACGTGTACTTCTTCGTTTGAACATTGTCGCTGTCGCCACCTTGACAGGTCATCAACAGTCATCAATAACCGTGGCCACGTAAGAGGCCATCCAGCTGGACGCGGGCGGTTATAGACCTTGCGGCACACAGTTGCGGTGGCAAGGTTTCGACGATCAAGGTGAGTACGTTCGACTCGAACGAGCGCAAGCGGACGTAGCGCCGCTTTGCAAGGTATCTCAGCGCGGCCACAAGCCGCAAGTCGAAAGATTGCACGATCGGAAGCAAATTCCGGTTTCCGAATCCCGTTGGTCGACGTTTACATGATGATGTTCGTACGTTTGTAGGGCGCCATCGGAGCAGTCGAGGACGCTCAGGTGAGGAAGGCCCGACAGCTGTGGCAGAGGAAACGCGAAGCGTGCAGTCGACCCGTGCGGTTTCGTTTGTGTGAGTCGCGTCGTCGCACTGATGGGGCCAATCGAGCCCCGATGATCGGGGAAACCATCATATCAGTGGAGTCTATAAAGCATCTGTACACCGCACTGGAACGAATGAAAGTGTTATGAGCAAAGTCTGGTACTGTTATCTGCGTGTGTACCCCAACGTTAGCAACTAGTTTATGTTTGGGCTGGGGATTCGTCGTCTCACGGATGGGGCCCATCGGGTCCTCATGATCGGGGAATCCATTAGATCGGTAACAACTGCTAGCTATAATAACATAGCAGTTGCATCCTTCTTTGCGTCCAACACAGTGATCTTGGGTCTGACAGCACCGCAGCGCGTTACGTTTTTTAGGAGTCATACGACAGCATGGTGGTGTCGTCACATTCCCACTCTTCGCGTTGGAATTGTGGTCAGACCATCTTTCCTTCAGTCTGACTCACAGCACGGTTCGCACTTTTCTGATTGAGTTTCACCACCTTTCGGTGTTTCATCAACAATCCCCAGTGGAAGTGAAACATAGTGAAAACGCAGGTGAAAGCCAATCCTATCGGCTGTTCATCAGGAATTTCCTTACATGCCGCCAGTGTATTGTAATTGGATTCCAGATCGGTAATTGACGGATCCGCTTCAGTGGTCAAGTACCGGTAATCCGAGCATACCTCACATGTGATGTTAACAAATTGTAACACAAAGAGACTAGACACCGCCATTGATCCTCATGTTCGTCACGGTCAATATCCACGGGTCCAATTTGCTGTCGCGAAGTATGTATACGGCACTGACGCCACACCCTATTGTCCAGTTGGGAACGTGGCTTAGATTCGAACACATAGGACTGGATCCAGGCGTTTGGTGTGTGGCTGCGGCCTTGCATCTAGCCTTGTGCCAATGATATATAAGCGATGGCGCATTTGCACTTCGAGTGTGCACTGCAGAAGTTCCGGTTATGTACTGTACATCATGAGTTCATTTTTTCTGGTTTTACTTGCAGTTGCCTTGCCGGTCTTTGGCAGATCGTCTGAAGGCAAGCTTGACAAGGTATCGAGGACGCTCAGGTGAGGAAGGCCCGACAGCTGTGGCAGAGGAAACGCGAAGCGTGCAGTCGACCCGTGCGGTTTCGTTTGTGTGAGTCGCGTCGTCGCACTGATGGGGCCAATCGAGCCCCGATGATCGGGGAAACCATCATATCAGTGGAGTCTATAAAGCATCTGTACACCGCACTGGAACGAATGAAAGTGTTATGAGCAAAGTCTGGTACTGTTATCTGCGTGTGTACCCCAACGTTAGCAACTAGTTTATGTTTGGGCTGGGGATTCGTCGTCTCACGGATGGGGCCCATCGGGTCCTCATGATCGGGGAATCCATTAGATCGGTAACAACTGCTAGCTATAATAACATAGCAGTTGCATCCTTCTTTGCGTCCAACACAGTGATCTTGGGTCTGACAGCACCGCAACGCGTTACGTTTTTTAGGAGTCATACGACAGCATGGTGGTGTCGTCACATTCCCACTCTTCGCGTTGGAATTGTGGTCAGACCATCTTTCCTTCAGTCTGACTCACAGCACGGTTCGCACTTTTCTGATTGAGTTTCACCACCTTTCGGTGTTTCATCAACAATCCCCAGTGGAAGTGAAACATAGTGAAAACGCAGGTGAAAGCCAATCCTATCGGCTGTTCATCAGGAATTTCCTTACATGCCGCCAGTGTATTGTAATTGGATTCCAGATCGGTAATTGACGGATCCGCTTCAGTGGTCAAGTACCGGTAATCCGAGCATACCTCACATGTGATGTTAACAAATTGTAACACAAAGAGACTAGACACCGCCATTGATCCTCATGTTCGTCACGGTCAATATCCACGGGTCCAATTTGCTGTCGCGAAGTATGTATACGGCACTGACGCCACACCCTATTGTCCAGTTGGGAACGTGGCTTAGATTCGAACACATAGGACTGGATCCAGGCGTTTGGTGTGTGGCTGCGGCCTTGCATCTAGCCTTGTGCCAATGATATATAAGCGATGGCGCATTTGCACTTCGAGTGTGCACTGCAGAAGTTCCGGTTATGTACTGTACATCATGAGTTCATTTTTTCTGGTTTTACTTGCAGTTGCCTTGCCGGTCTTTGGCAGATCGTCTGAAGGCAAGCTTGACAAGGTGAGTTTGCAATTGCTACAAATGGTGTTTACTTTGCTACATGTTTTCTTCATATAGTTATTATGTATATGACCGCTCGATCAAGCACACAAAAGCGGAAGCGACATCTAGTTGAGCCGATGTATTAACTACAATGGTTCAGTACAAAGACCCAATGCAGCCCATTTTATGATATACACAATATACAGGAGGCGCTGATGCCCAAACGATCTCCTCTTCCCTCAGCTACGGCGTTGCATTAGCCAATGTGCCAACCACAACTGCATATTCAGCTCTGCCAAATGCTCCCTGCCAGGTGTACCCCCTGTGCAGCGTCATCCGTTGACCGCAATGTTGGCTTATGGAGCCCGTAGTACATTGACATGTGATCATCTTGTCCAATTTGCCATGCAGATTACAGCTGTCCGATTTGCTGTCACCAATCATGCATACGACACTGACGCCACACCCTATTGTGCAGTGGGAAACGTTGCTTCGATTTTAACACATAGGGTTGCACCCTCGTGTAGCATGCCAACAGACAGTCTGAAATGAAGACAACAATGGCTGGCTCCTGTGTGTATCAGTATTTCGCAACATGCTGGAAAATCGTGTACATTACACATTGCACTGCCTCAAGGGCATAACCAACAACGTCGGTTTCCACAATGCGTGCTGTCCCACAAACCAATCTCATACAAATGCTAAGTATACACTGCATTTCTGGCATCCTCTATCCAACCACAACTCCATATTCAGCTCTGCAATATGCTCCCTGTTTAAAACACTGAGTCTAAATTCGATGCATCCACGTGCCCAAAAAGACATTGATCATAGATTGACACCACCTTATACTAACATTGGTTATTCGTTGCTGCTCGGAGACAAAAGTTATAGCAGCATTGTTATTCCTTGAATTGTGGAGCACTCTTTGTCAACATCAATATCGGCAAACTCCATTTACATTCATCATGTTTAACACATATTTGAAGTTGTGACGGGTCGAAACTGCGCAACATATCACAATCTTTCACTCACCTTATCATCTCACTTGCTAACACACCAACATTCCTTTGTCACGACCCATTTGGAGATCACTTTCAGAGCATCCTGTGTGAGGCCACATGTCCAACATCACCATATCTGTCCCCAAGCAGCAATCCTCTATTGTTCTGCCAACAAAATCAAAGAATCTCAACACATACATGCACATTAGGGATGTTGATGTTCTAGCATGCATTAGCATTTACACAAAGCAACATTTTTGCACTTGCAAGAGCCGTGACGTTGGTTTAATTATGTTTGATTATCGATGCAACTTTTAGTCAAAAAATCCAAAATAATCTAGATCAACCATCTATCTTGACTGTTACTTGATAGTGGTGTTGGCTAGAAGACTTTTTCATTCACATTACATTCGTGTCTTCATATTGATTTTGTACAATGATGGTTATTATGTTTGCCATCAACATGTCTTGCATTCATTGTCAATTTCTGATGACTGGAATGTTGTCTGACATTCGACTATTTTTGGATGTAGCATGGGAAAAAACACCATCGTCCGGGCATCATCAACAACACCTCCAGGAAGAAAGATGGCAGCTCCTACTCCCACTACAGTAAGTAACTAGCATTAAAAAATGCGGATTTCAAATCATCGATCAATAAAATATAAACAACATAAAGTTTACTTGTTGTCACTTTGTGTGCATTTCTTTTTTGGTCTACTTGTTGTTGGCATTCTGTTTTTTACAATATATGTCATTAAGAAGAAACACAATAGAGGTGGTGCTCAGAAAAAGAAAATAAACAAACAAACTAAAACATCATCGGCAAATGTAATCGATAGAAAAACAAATAAAAATCAATTTTCTAATGTTCATCACAATATTCCGCTTCAAAATGAGACAGAGCCTAACGTTACTCAAGCTGAGTTAAGAACTTGGAGACAATATCACAAATATCAAGATCAGTTGGCAAATACGCCATTGTTTGATGGGTTGTGTTACAACTGTGGTATTCTACTATTTTCATACCCCCCTGGTCATGCTTTCACAAAGTTAAAACAATCTAGTGAGCAAATAGCACCCATCACACGCATGTATGCATCAATCCCAAATATTCCTTACGAATGCAGCAATGGGACATCATGGAAATGTTGCTATTGGTGTTACAATGGGGCACGGCCATGCCCTGCCATAGGCAACCCAGAAACAAACATTGTCGATCGGCCCACTGAAATCTTGGACTTGAAAACTCCAGCTCAAAAGAGAGCAATCTCTTTATGTTCAATATTTTCGTCGACATTCAGGCAAAGACAACCGTATTGGCACCAGTGGCGTCATATTGTAGGTACTGTAAATATCGCTCGGAAAACGAGCCGGCACTATTATGGAATGTTTGGATACTATACGTCAAAGTACACACATGATATGGTTGCCACGTGGGAGCAAACGGCTATATGCAAGGCATTGACATGGTTGAGAACCAATAACCCATTCTATCAATACTTCCTTTGTACATATGAGACATTGTACCGTTGGCACGTGGACAGCAAAGAAGCTTTTCATAATCCTGAGGCTATGCATACCGCAGAAGGTGATAATGTTGCCAAACAACTACAAGATGAACAAGATGGTTTGGTTGTTCCTATTGATAATATCAATGATGTACCCGCCCTTTTCCAAACCGAGGATATAGTTGGCCAAATGAATCCCAATCCAAATATCTTCCAAAAATACTCCACAATGAAAAAGTTGCTAGATGTACAATACAACGATCCCAATCTAGAAGCGAAGGCATGGCCACATTTATTCCCATATGGTGGCGGAAGTTGGCACCATGATTCTGGGATTGACCTAGCACAATATCAGAAGCAAAGGCTTTTAAATGTTGATGACAGATTCAGAACAGATTCCTTTTGGGACTTTTTCCAATTCGATCGACGAATTAAACAATCCATTTACGCCTATAACCAGAAAGTTATGGCCAACAAACATCAGACCGTAGTGAAAACCGCTAAAGAGGTTAGAGACAATGTGAGAAAAAGAAACGACCCCCGACAGTGTCCCTTAGGAACGTTCATGCCTCGTCGCGTTCCAGGGTCCAAAGGGTTTTGGAAATCCAAATTACTGGATGTGCTTGCCATGAGCCATGAGCTCGGCAATCCAAACTTCTTCATAACCTTGACTTTTAACGATGATTGGCCTGAGTTGCAATCCTATATTAAAAACAACAAACAGCCCAATGAAACCCACAACTCCAATGATGAATTCCAAAACACCACTTCTCCTGTTGATTATACTGTCGCCTCAATTGTAGCGTACATGCGTAGATTCAGTCTATATCGGAAAAAAATATTGCAAAACAAGAAAGGACCATTTGGTAAAGTCACTTCTTTCTGGTGGCGTCATGAGTTTCAAAAGCGGGGGGCAATTCACACTCACATGGTGATTTGGTGTGATCCCAATACGATCCCTAACAATTGCATACGAGCAGAGCTTCCCCGTGGCAAATTTGACGATCCCAATAACACAGAATTCCTAGACTACTGCCGCTCTAAATGCCACAACCAATTGCATCAAAAGTGCATTGGAAATAGGTGTTTCAAAGGCCCAAAAGGAAAACGCTTGCTCAAATGCAAATACGGTTTCCCTTTTGACATCAATGACACCAAACAATTATCAACTTCTGGTGCGCGACTATTGTATGTACGCCGCCGTGAGGAGGACCGATGGGTGGTGGAACACAATATGCCTGCCAAATTATTGTTTGACAGTCATGTCTGCGATAAAGAGATTCTCACCAAAGGTTGGGAAATGTATTTGGCGAAATACATCGCCAAAGCAGAGCCATCCTTTTATATGCACTTCGACAATTGGGAGCGAATGAACGATGTCCAAAAATACCTTTGTGCACGAATAGTCGGCCGGATGGAAGTTGACACTGTGCTTCTTGGCTTCCATCTTTCGCGCTCATCCCATCCAGTTGTATTCTTGCCCACTAACCTCCACGACAGACGTGCGGTCCTTAAGCCCATTGACAAACTCCCTACCGATGAACACTCAGAAAACATATTCTATACGGACAAATGGGACAAGTATTTAGATCGACCAGCTGAGCTGCGGGATCTAACATATTACCAAATTTGGAAATACTATCTCTATGTGCCACCCTCCCAATCTGTCGGACGAAAACTGAAACGTCTGGTCCACATTGGAAAACAAACCTACCCATTTTCAATCTGCCATTGCGATGGTGGCCATTGGAAATTCCGCGATCGCCACCTTGCCATCCCACGTTGGAAATTTATTGCTCCCCATGATCTTGAATCTACCGAGGCCTTCTTCATGCAAAAATTGATGCTCAATGTCCCCTACACAAGATCCGAACCTGTGTTTAGCCCTTCCAACCAAGAAAAAACTTACTTTGAAGAATGTCGCCTTCGAAACTTGCTCACATGCGAGGACGACTTCAAACACATCATCAAATATACCTACCACAATTCAGCAAATGTGCAAAAGATCCGTGAGTGGATCCAATACTTTGCCCAAAATGATTGGTTGGATGCAGACTACGGCAACGAATATTTGGCATCTTTAATGGACGATGAACAAACCCAACAAGATGCTATGTACCAATTTGATGAAGAGAATTCCGACGAACAAGACACAATGTTTGGTGACTTACTCCCTGCCCCCAAAAGCAACAATTTGGAAACCTTTCTACAACAAATGAATTCTGGCCAAGCAAGTGCCTACCATCACTGTACCAATCTAATGGCTTCAAACAACAACGAACGCAACACCCAATGTTTAGCCACCATCTTTGGTAATGCTGGGAGCGGCAAATCCTTTCTGCTCAAAGCACTCGTTGAGTTTGCAAACTCAATAAATCTAACAACTGCAGTTATGGCACCAACAGGCATTGCCGCATGGCTTGTCAATGGCACTACCATACATTACACATTTGGTTTAGATGCCGACGCAAAATGCCATTTCGAAAAAGGTTCCATCCAGCAACGACGTTTGGCAAACACAGAGGTTTTGATAATTGATGAATGCAGCATGGTGTCCAGCACTTTATTCCAACAAATTCATGACATATGTTGCACAACGTGCGATGACCCAACACTTTCTACACTCCCATTCGCAGGAAAACATGTGATACTCTTTGGTGATCCTGCACAACTTCCTCCAATAGGCAAACCCATATTCACCACCAGCCTTTGGAAACAATTTGCAATCCTCACATTAAAAGAAAACATACGCCAATCCTCCAATCTTGCAGATCCTCAAACAAACCAATTCCTAAAATGCCTACACGAAGTTCGCAATGGTTTTTTAAGCCAAACGTCACTTAACTTGCTAGAAATGAGGTCCATAAACAATGCCGAAATTTGTGATAGCACGGTTACCATCATCGCTTCCCGGCGAAAGACATGCCAACAATGGAATGATTATATGATACACCGCATTTCTAGTGAAGCAAACCCGATCCGCACATATCATTCAAATATCAGTGATACACTAGGTGCTGAGTTGCCTCCAAGAATTTTGGAAACAATCCATTCAAGTAGCAACCAAAAACTCAATACAAAAATGTATCCACAAACAATACACTTGTGCAAACATGCCCGTGTCATGTACCTAAGAAATTCTGATGTCCAAGCTGGGTGGGCAAACGGCACAATGTGCGAAGTTATTCATTGCGATGAGAATTATGTAACAGTGTGAAACTTGCAAACAGGAGCCATTCGTCCAGTGTTCCCACATCAGCAACAAATCCAAATTCCTGGTTGCAACTACGCCATAACACAAACCCAACTTCCATTGCGCCTTGCATTCAGCACTACTGTAAGGGGCGAATGCCCTTCGAGGCTGGACGGGACTCGGCCCGTTTACCCGTTCGACTCGGGTTCCAGTCGGAGACGAACTTGACGGCAAGTTTTCTGGTTACAGAAGTGTTCCGGTGTTCCCGTTTATATACCCCGTGTCCAAGGCAGTCCAAAGGTCATGCCAGAATTGGGTGAGTCACCCAGATTCTGGCATACCCGCCCAGTTTGTAATTTGAACCTCCTTGATTCATGTCCGTTCGTCTCACCGACCCGTGGGTGCTCAGCGCCACCCTTTACCGTATTGACCAATACGGCCATCCCTTTTGTCTATTTTAT